AACTGGGAAAAAACAGGAGCAAATGATAGAAAAGGAAAACATCATGGGCAAAATGGCCACCTCAGGAAGGCAGCTGCAATTCTTGCCCAAACTGCCCATAAACTTTGTCACAGAATAGTTCCCAAAGAGAACTCTCAGACTCTGGAGAAAAGCCTAGCTAGACTCAGCCTGGAAAAAGAATCAGGTTTGATGGTAGGTAACTGCAACCTTGAGCACAAGAGTCAGGAGAAATACCCTACAATGGCTTTGCCCCTAGAAGCATGCCAATTGTACCATAAGACTGCCAATACAGACACCCACAAATACCTGAATTCTGTGTGGAAGAGATACCACCTGAACCTTCTGTGTATCAGAGACTGAAACAGGTAATGCCTGTTCCAAAAATACAGAGGGTGCCACTTCAGTCACTTGCTTCAAGCGTGGGAGGCAACAGACAGAAACTGTAACCTCTAATTTACTGGTCCCAGTCTCACAATGCTTTCTCCACATTTCCAGGTGGGAGATAAATTTAGGAATAAAGCAAAACAAGCAGTGTGCTCTATTCTGAGAGTGTGGGGGTGAGCATGGAATAGTGTCTGTATTGCCAGACGACTTCCAACCCCAGTAAGTGGGAATTAATTCTTCCTCTACCACTTCCCCTTTCCCTTCCCTAGTCAGAGGGTGCCATGCCTAGGACTGGCACACAGATGATGGGGTATCCCCCTCTCAGACTGCAGAGAATCAGATTTCAAAAGGATCTTAAAGGAAATAGAGAATACTTCTTTGTTTAAGCACACATTTCAGAGAAAGAAACTCCTAATCCCTAAAAAGTCAGCAACAATGAAGTCTGTTGTCCTGATAGAGCACAGAAATGTCGTTAGTGCCCTGGGAATGTAGCCATCCATCCACTTCCCTTCTCTTCCTTATTACTGTTTTAACCACAACTCACCCTCCTCCCCTCCACCAGCAAGCCTTAAATTCTGTGTCTCTGAAGAACACTATTTATTTATTTATTTAATGCTTTTCTTATGTAGAAACACATACACAAAGAAGTTCTTACATTTCCATCCCAGCCTTTTTCAGCAAATTCAGGGGGCTTTTAAAAAGTTCAGATGGTGACCATGGCCCCTAAATCTTAGTCATCTTCTAGTTTGTAGGGTTTTTTTGTTGTTGTTGTTATTGTTGTTGCTTTTTGTTGTTGTTGGTTTTTTTTTTTTTTTTGTTTGGTTTTTTACTGCTATTCTTACACACAACTTACCTAAATAGCAAATCTGCTTTCTAAGAACTAATCCACAGGGTCTTTTCCAGGCAGGCATGAGTTCACTTCACATTCATGCCAACCTCCAAGAAACTGGGCAAGTACTACTAAAAGGAGGCTGAATCCTGGCCAAGACAACAGCTGTGAAATGGTTTTTGGTCAGCTAAGACCACAGGCACAGCTAAACTGCATCTGCTTTTACATTAACCTAATAGCTCTTGTCATGATACCAACCCTGCCACTATTTGCATTCTCAGAAAAAAATTTTTTGTAAACTGCACACCAACAAAAACCCACACAAACACACACAAAACCCAAATCAAACAAACAACCAAACCAAGCCAAACAACAACAACAAAAAAGACAACTGAAAGAGAACCCTACCCCAAAAGAGCCTCCAGTATTTGGAGACTAAAATATTTTACATTGATTCCTTTAGTGGCTAAATAGTAAAACCCATTAAGTATTTAGACACCAAATAAAGAGAAATAAAAATACTCGGTAAAAAACTTCACATAGATTCATCACAACTGCTACCCCTGTTCAATCATTATTTACTGGAGTTCTCTCACTGCTTCTGCAGCTGTGCAGAGTGATGGTCTGAAGTAACACCGAGGAGTTTTGCTGGATGTTATTACTACATTTGCACCACTTCTTCCCCAGACTTCACCCCATGATATGAGTTACTTTTCTGAATTCCAGAAGAGTCTCCTCACAATCCCATCCATGGATCCCTCGCTTCAACATAAAGCCCAGAGACAGGATCTGCTGAGCAGCTGGTGAATGGCACGGTGAGGGTTTTGTTGTTGTTTTGGTTATTTTGGGGTTTGTTGTTTCCTCAATGTGGTTTTTTTTTGGCTTGGATTTTGTGGTTGATTTTAGCTATCCCTTAGCTATGTATCCAGCACATAATTGAACTCAAATCAATGGCCCTATTGCTTTACACTACAACTAAAAAGCAGTTTAATGTGAATTACTGAACGAGAGAGTACTAATATTAGCTCTTTTAAGGATTACAGTGTACTACAATATTTTACAGAAAGGTGATGGGGAAAATTGCCATGTCCCTGATTTACTATTAAAATTCTTCCCAAGTTTTTCAATTGCCTAACCCAAGTTACAATAAATACATGCAAGCTGGAAGGAATTTTCAGCAAAAAAAACCCCAAGAAAACAGAACTACAGAAAGAAATTGAGCTGCTGAAACACTAAACAAGAGGCTAATACTAATAAAATTAAATGAAAATTTAAATGCTGATCTGCAGACTTTTAAATCATTTGTTTTTAGAAGCATGTACTGATGTTGAGACCAGCTTGTTGAAGCCCATGATATCTCTTAAGAGGCAGGTCTGGTATGAAAAGTTCTTTCACTTAAGTAGCAACATGTGCACACATGCAATATACAGAGCCCATGAAGCCTGAAGGAAAAATTCAGAGGAGAATAAAGCAAGAGCTAAAACTTAAGCTCTGTTCCTTCCAGACAAGGACACACAAAGACAAAAATCACCCTTCCATTTCAGCATCTCCAATCTGGTTCCCAGAATACCAACACTGAAGACCATTGAATAGCAACATCAATTAGCTGTACACAGATTAAAACCATGCCCAAACCACTGATTATTATTAAGGGCTCACTTTATGAACAAGCAGAAGCATCGTGCAATAAATCCTTGGGCAGCAGCAGAAAATGAGAAAACAATGTGAAGAAAGGGGAGGAAAAAAAGAAAAAAAAAAAAAAATTAGTTGTTGCTCCAGAGATGTAATATTGTCCCATTACAGTAAGTCACCATCTCTTTTTCCCCTGAAGGAATGAATGAGTATAAAATTAGCATTACCACATGCGGGATTCCAAGAACAATTCAAAAGAATTCCTGGTTCCTTTATAAGATTTTGAACCTGATCTCATTTGGACAACATCTTCTAAAGAAGTCAAAGAGGTGACCAATTTAATAACAGTAACTGGTGATCACAGGAGGTTGCAGCAACAGAATATAGGTTTCACCTTGTGGCAAAATTTCTGTTCCTATAACCATTTAATTGTGCAATACAAACACCAGGAACTGGTCTCCAAATGCAGAAATGAGAAGAGCAAACTGAGCACGAGACACAAAGTTCAGGTTCACTAAACTGAAGATTTAACAAAAGGCAGAGGTGCTAGAGGTGGTCACTGACCTGTTTCATGCATGGACAGGTTCAGGCCACATTTTTCAAAGGTACAGTTACACTTCTAGCTGAATTTCAATTTAGCAAATAAGCTTTCATACTTAAGGTTTTAATACATCCACCATCTATCCACCAAAACCCCCAGGCAGTAGAAAACAATTAAAAGGCAAAATATCGATGGCTAAACAATGGGATGAACGTTTATTACTTCTCTGGGTATCATGAAAGCCACAAATAACTGAACTTGGTTTGAACTCTGGAAATATCTGTGGAACAAAAAGACCTAAAATACAATATGCAGTTTCTTTTTACTGTTTGTCAAAATTCACCACACTTTTTATGTGATAATCTTTATCCACTGAAAAATTGAGTATACAGAACTGCTTTCAAAACATAAATGTAAGGTTCAAAGAGAAGACACAACAGGTAGAGCACTGCATCTTCCAAATACTCAAAACTTGGAACATACACATTTAAGCATCTGCTCTCAGTCTACATTCATTTGCATACCAGATATCTGGCTCAACAAATTAAAGCTCATTGTCTTCTAAGAATATAGAGGTTAAAAAAAAAAGAAAATAAAGAAAGAAAACATACCATGCCTGAATGTTTCCTATTACCTCTTGCAATATCACTGTTATCCCAGAATGTTGAAGGACAAACATGCAAATATTACTGCCTTTTAACACAAAATCACTTGTTCACTTGCAGTGGTTTGAGAGCCATAAAGAGGATTTTAGGTCAGAGCTTCCAAGTAGTACCCAAAAGGGCAGAGTTGGTACTGTGTAAGTGCCGTTACCCACAGGGGTTAAATACTCACCAGTTCATATTCAATTACCTTTCCTTTTAGCAAATATGCCATGACAAACCATGGATATAGACATACTGTATCCTCTGAGACAAAAGGCAGAAGACATCAAATGAGGGCTGCTGGAAAACAGTGTTTATAGCTGGTGCCTTTTTTTTTGTTTTAAGACTTATCAAGAAGATACATTTTTGTTTGATCACCTGAGAGCATTCCATCAGTCCATACAGACTGACCTTACCTACAGTATATTTGCTGTCAAAATGGACAGCATGGATAATACAGATTTTCTTTAGTTTGCAATGTAATACAGCTTTAATGAAAGATGCTCCTGCCTGTAACCAAAATTATTAGCAACTGAAACAATGTTTGACCAAGACATCTGTGTCTCCTTTTGCAAGTCACCACACCCAGCTCACAGCTCTCTGTATTAGAAATCAGCAAACTTTCAGTGTTGAAGGTCAAACACTGACCCTACCAAAAGGCTCCCACCACCAAGAGCCCAGGACCGAAAACTTCTGGCAGCCCCCACTTTCCTATGGAAGCCCCACGCCCACTGGGGCTCTGAGCTCTTCAAACTCAAACCCCAAATCCAGACACCAAATGACTGCTTCCAGATCAGGATTTGTTTATTTAATAAGAAGGAAGGCAAATTTTGTGTTACTCTTCAGTCCGCCAGTTAAATATACAACAAGCATCTTGCAGTTTCCAAAAGCTCTTGCTGGCTCAGTTTGGCCTCCACTGATCAAAACTCAGAGGTCCAAAGAGGTCTCAAGAAGAGGGCTGCATACTAACCTGGTACCCCTGGAAGAAACTGAGTATCTCCTTCATTCCTGTGTTATATGGCAAGCCCTGCATCCGGACCAAGGCTCCAGGCTGGGGCAGGATGGGAGTGTGGGTGGCAGTAGCAGCGGCAGCAGCTGCCACAGCTCCTGGGGGAGCTGCAATGTACCCCACCGTGGTAGGAGATACTGGAGGGCTGAAAGAGAGAGAGGGAGCAAAATTGTTACAAAAACCAGTAACTGGTTCTACTAAGAATAGGCAAAGCTGAAACCAAAAACTTAGATTTGAAAAATAATCGAAATACTACAGAAAAACAGAGAGTCCCGATGTGGATTGTTTTGTGGACTTTCTTAATTTCTCTTAGGCTCTCATGATCTATTTTTAGACAAGGGAGGGAAGGCAAAATGGCTAACATTTGTAGTTAAAGACATAAGGAGTGGCATTTGTTATTTCACAGGGGAGTAGGAAAAGTAGCTGCAGATGACTTGTTCTAAGATCGTTAATGAAAACACAAAGAAATAAAGGGGAGGGGTGTGCCATAATATGAAAAGGAGGAAAACACCCTAATCTGGCACTTCTGAGCCACAAAATAGTGAGTAATTAGCATCTCCATCTCTGGTCAGGGCCTATTTAGCAAATTGCCAGATACTCAAGCTAGCAAGTGTCACACAAGCCTAGGAGCTATCAGTGAACAAGCTATTTCCCCACAACCCCTGTACCAGACTTCAGTGACTCATGCTGATACCATCTGTGGAAGGGAAAAGGTGGAGATTTGCTTTCACATGTAAAAATGTTCTTTGGTCTTGCTGATGTACAAAATCAAACCTAGTACACACCTATGATGAGTCTTTCAGAATGAAAACAGTATTGTAAGTAAAAGAACAAACTAAGAGGTGAGGGTAGAGGTGTGGATTGACACAGCTTCTTTCTCTTCTGGCCGAGAAATAGAACTGCCTTGGTGACATTGCCTCAGTGCCAAAAAACCCCTTTACATTATCATGAGATTCAAGCAGAACCTACAGAGATGAACGCCCTTACAAGGTTACAGAGAAACAGTTAAAATGGTTTCTGCCTCTGTTGCTGAACATTATGTTCCCAGAACTACCTACACTAGAAGTGCAAATTTAAAAGCTGTTCACAGGTGACCACAGAGTCACCTACTGCACTGGGATGAAAGGTCAAGAGGAGCAGTGAAATCTCGGGGTTACCTGGGATAGTAAGCTGTGTAGTTCATGTAGAGCTGAGCAGCCTGGGCTGGGTAGTAGGTAACAGTTGGAGGAGCAGCTGCAGAGGCCTGGGGCGTCCTGGTGGATGGTAGGAGGGCTTGTGGCTGGTAAAGGGCTGCTGCCTCTGCTGGGATCACAGCTGCTGTTTGGAAAGCAGCATAAGCTGGTGGAGAAAGACCTAAAACCAAACGAGGACACAGCAACAAAAAGCAATCAGAATGGAGAAGTCTCAGATGAGTAACTCCTCCCCTAGGGCAATGTGATTAAAACCATCTGGGCATGATTGATAAACACTTGAGCAAAGACTGCTCTCTAGCCTCTCCCCTGGAGACCTTTGCTACATTGCCATGAATAACAACCAGGGTTCATTTGGAATGAGTAATTCCTGAGAGTTCACAGCTCCTAGATCTGAGCAGTTTTGTCTATATGTAAATGGAAAGTAGGGAACTTCAGAGTTAATAAAAGAAAGCATAAAGCCATGTGCATAGAGAAAGCAGGCGTGCACACCAACACACCCTGGTGTTTTCTAACAGAAGTTGTACTCTGTGGGACAAAAGCACCATAATAGTGCTTGGGCATCCACATGGGTGCACACATGGGCATCCATAACTACTGACCATGAGACTTCATGTATAAGCTTCCTGAGACTTCAAAAAGTATTTTTAGGATATAGCAAATGGAAGGGAGAATTCCCCACTAGATCACTAGTCTGATGGATTTTGATGAACAAATACCTAATTTGTACAGGAACAATAAACTTGGCTTGGTGTGCAGTCAAATTGGTTTTATATACTATATTTGGCAGCTTTTTAATATTTTGCAAATACACATCAGTATCTGCTTTGTGATTTGGTAGTGAGACTAATTAGAACAATACAGTAAAATTCCATTATAGCTCCTCAATAAGGTTCACTGTAATCTTAAAATAAAAAAATTAAAAGCCATCCAACTTCACCACTCTATGGTTGGTTAGTATATCATCCCAGTGGGTGTTTTCCTTCAAAAATAAGCCCAAAGAGTACCTTCTGAATGCTCTGAGGCAAGATAGCAAGAGCACTCATCGGCAGCTGGAATATAGAACAACTCCCCATTTTAAAAATCCCTCTCATTCCAAGTAGGTTTCACTACAGGCAAGTCTACTGCAGAGCTCAGAAGAACAGTACACCCATAAAAAGCAAAGTGTGCAACAATTTCACTGGCAAGGCCTTGCTGCCCTCTACTCACCGCCGAAAATACAATAAAAATGCCTCTGATCAGTCCCATTATTGCCCAAAGGGAACAATTCCAATCTTAGCATGTACACAGATGGATGATTATTGATCATGGCAAAACCCGAGTCAAAAGGTGAAAGGCCACAAAGCTTCAGCACCTACCACATATCAGCCTTTAGCAGCAGAGAGCAGAAGAATTGGAGACTTACATGGTAACTTACATGGCGGTGGGGATAAGCCACTACGATTTAAAGTGCCACCCATTAAAACAAAGTTCATCTCCTCTCCAGAACACTGGAATACTTCCACATAACGGTCCTTCATCATTTTTTTGTGACATTTTTGAGCCACCATAAAGGCTTTGTCAGCAGATTTCATCTGGATAAAAGCATCACCTGACGGTCGTCCCTAGGGGAGGCAGGGAAGTAATTGTAAGTCAATCTGTTATGAAATCTCCCAGATCACAAGAAATGCAGAAAGGACTAAGATCAAACATCTACTGAAAGCCTGTATCCTTATTCCTTTTCTGCCACAAATGACTCACAACTCAACAATTCTATTTAGAAGCAGAAAAATCAAGACTCATGCAACAAGTGCCCAGTTAATACAATGCTACTTCAGTCCTCTGCAGAAAAAAACAGAATCATGTAGCATGGAAAAAAATGTGGAGGTCTCTCATCCAAAAGCTGTTCAAAGCAGGACTAACTTTCAATTTACGTCAGGCCACTCATGGCCTTCTCCACTTGAAATCTGAGCATCTCCAGGGGTGAAGGTTCCATATCACCTCTGGGAATCTGTTCAGGTGCTTAGCTAATTTCTCATTGCAGTTTTATTTTTTCCCTTTTCCATCAACTGGAATGGGGTTTTTTGGATGTAGTTTATTCACATTGTCTCTTATTCTTTTGCTGTGAAGCTCTAGGAAGATCCTGGTTCTGCCTTCCCTACAACTGCTTTCGAGGTAATAGTACAGCAGCATAAAGTTCCAGATCCTTTAGTAAAGTCCATAGCTGCATTGGAAGTTGATTTCCAGGCCTGATTTTCTGCAATCTGACAGATATACCTGTCTGTATAAAATACAAAAACTTTCTTAACCAAAAAAATACACACACACACAAAAAAAACCCTCCTAAACAAATATAGTAGATCTCTCATTTGTTTTCTTTAATACCTCAGTATTTCTGTCATTAAGAACTTACTTTTAACACAAGACAACAGGGAAAATATATCTCTATGATCACATCATTAAAATACACCCAAACCACAATTTTTAATTATCGATTCTCTTTTAAGCCTGAGCAACTGCTAATCAAGTTAGAAAAAGCTCATTTTGACATAAAGAGCACTCAAACAACACAGCAGGAACCCTGAAGTTGACAGAGCAGCTATGCCATCTAAAGGAGAGATTTCTGTAATGTATCTCCAGCCTCTGGCTGAAAACAGCCTTCAGGATAAAGTTATAATTTAAAGAACAAGGTTCATCTTCCCCAGGCTGGTCCATATATACATACAGAGAGAGAAGAGCAAGGGTGTATGTAAAAGGGGAAGAGAAATGAAGCAAAGACAGATGAAGAGAACATTACATTTTCCCAGGGCTGGAGAAGACTAAAGCCAAGATAAGGTAAGCTGCCCTGACTTCAAACCAATGTCAATGCAAAGTTACTCCTCCCATGCAAAATGCTGTTACCTGCTGATTAAGGACCATGTGAACTCCATGGGGCTTGATATCCCCTGTGGCATCTCCCATAAATTCCAAGATGTCATCAATGCCAGCAGTGTAGGGAAGGCCCCTGAGCCGCACGCAGTCGCGGACGCTGCCCGTGGCGATGGTGTACGGAGGGGGCATGACCGGAATGATGGGAGTTGGAAGGGTTGGAATAAGAGGTGTTGACATGTATCTATTAAGTACCTGTTGGCAAAAAACCCACAGCAATGCAGATTTACAATCATCTGTCTGAGCATAGAGCAGTTCTCACAATACTATTTCCAACAAACCCTTCTTATACTAAGTTACTGCAGTTTCTTTCCTGTTGGGCATTTGAAAGTTTTAAACTCAGAAAAAGAGAGGGGAAGGCTAACAAATTCAATTTGCCAGACCTCAATAACAGACTTTTCTCATGTCAATATAAAAAAGTTAAAAGTCAATTACTGTGTATAGTACCTCAAAAAGAAACATCTGAAATCACATCTGTGCTAATAAACCAGTATTGCCACATACAGTTCTTAGGTAAATCAGGGTAAATTAAAACCAGTCATTTTAAAAGAACTGAGACCTGAAATAGCTAGTAAGTGAAAGCACTAATTTTAATTTATTCTAAAACTCGATTGGTTAAGTGAGGGTGCTTATTTGTTTAACCCCAGTGCTCATCTCCAAGTACAGATTTTCTGAGGAGAAAATAAAAATTAAAGATAAGAATATAGAAGACTTTGATCTCAACATTTTCTCTTGACTCATTTCCAAATGACAAAGGGAACATATGACACATGTAGGGGCTTACTGCTGGAAACCATTTTTACTGATGATTATCAAAAATAAACACATTCTACTGAAAGAGCTTCTAAAAAACAGGTCAAAAAGCTTTAGTTTTGCTAAAAGTGATTCAGCTTAGGGAGTTTATTTCAAGAATCTCCTTGTAATGCATTTCAGGACAGAAATCTCTCTCAGTTGTTTCAATTACTTTGTACTAACATTAAATAGATGAGGCCTGGCTTTACTTCTTGTAATTATTCAAACAAGTAGCCTGTAATGTCCTAAAAAATAATTTCTTGCCCAGGCAGCAAAAAAGTTCAGGTGTCAGCCTAGACAGCTGTCATAGAGGAAGAAGTAATGACATTTTGGTAGAATGTAAGTTATATCCAGGTCTCCCTAAAGTGGAAGCAGAGACTTGGTCATTGTGACAGAGTGATTTTGTTCCTTAGAGGATTTTGCTTCCTTCTCTCTCAGGAGGGAAGCTGTGGGGGAGAGGGAAATGCCACTTCCCAATCTTCACAGCACACAGATTCTTGGCTGTTGTAATATCCATATCACAGTAGTAGCAATGATCTACAAGTGTGGATATTCTTTCCATTGCCCCATCCCTTCTAGAGAAAGACTTCACCTGCCACATAAATTGCACAGTAACTGTATTACACTTTTATAGCCAGTGGTTATGCAAACACCAGGCCAAATCTAATAATGGTTCCCTCTGGAGCCACCAGTCTACAAGTATTCTGTGTCAGGAAGAAAAATACAATATGTGATATTTTTCATAGGGACAAGCAGCTGGTGACAAAATAAAATCGTTTTAATGGGTTAAGAAGGTAATGATAGGAACTGGTGAAGGATAGGCAAAAAAAGAAATATATCATGTCAAGAAAAAAAGTTCACTTCCTTTCACCAAAAAATCAGATACATCTTAATTCTTAGTTTCCAAGAAAGCAGTTGCTCATTTCATGCATCCAGATTTGGATTTAATATTAGAAATTCTGTACATGGAGACTAGCATTTAAAGACCATACTGCAGATTTTCAGGAAGTATTACTACAATACTATCAATCTACTATATTTTTAGAATTATTTTTGTGATTTCAGTCAACCTTAAAGGAGAAGAAAAATATGCAATGATTTTCACTTTATAGTCTGAAGGATGGTAAAAAAACAAACTCCCAAGCAGTGGCAGCTTAAAAAGAAACCCAAAACAAACACCCCCTCCCCAAACAAAACAAAACCAGTGCTGCACCATTTTCCATGCCCATTAGGAAATATGCATTGATCTTTCTTGACATTTTTCATATAATAAATGTTCATGGTTCTCTACAACATATTTGTGTGCAAATGTTAGAAGAAACGTTTCAACTGTTCAGTTTTAAGTCTCACAACCAATAGTTACAACCTGTTGGACCTCTGCTGCTGTGCTCCTGAAGAGTTCAATGTAACGTTTTCCAAGTATTTCTTTGTGCTTTTTAAGTGCATTCTGTGCATATTCTTCACAGGAAAATAACACAAATGCATCTCCTGTGGGCCTGCCATCTGGGTACTTGACAAAGAGAAGTCCCTCTTTCCCTCCTGTGACTGGGCACTCTGGCCCCAGGAACCCCAAGACATCTTCCTGGGTAGCAGTGAATGGAAGGCCTCTCATCCTGATGATAACTTGATTCTCCTTGGATAAGAACTGGGCCACTTCATTGGAGGTGCCTGGCAGAGAGATAACAGCACGTGCTCAGCCAAGAACATGTGGTCAGTGCTGGGCACCCAGTTCAGGGGATGCAGCAGCAGCAGGGAAGCACTAAGGAATAATACAGTAGGTAAGCAGCCAGCAACAAACCCAGACAAGACCCAAACCACTACTAACTCTCAGCAATCTGTTTTGAGGGGAAAACCTCTTCATCTGCAAGTGCTTCATATTTTAATGAAATCGGAGCAAAGATTCTTGCGATGAGTGTGAATTAATACAAGATACACAGATGCTTCCACTGCAAAGGCTGGTCTTCCTCCCAAGAAGGAGGGCAGACTGTGAACATCACAGCTCAAATGCTCACAGCTCAGTTTCAACAACTTGACAGGGTCAAACATTCTTGGAAGACAAAACAGGAAAAGCTACTTCATTATCCATTTGCATCCTCAGTCAAAGAAAAAGCAGAACTTGAACAACATTCCTATGAACTGAAGTAATCACATTGAATCCCAGCATCACTTACCTCCTGCAATTTTTAAGAATTCTTCCCCAGTTGCTTTGTAAACCTTGAAAGAAAGGACAAAAAAAAATCCACATGAAAATCACAATGTTCCGCTTTAAACCACAGACACACTTTCACAAGCAAAAGAATTGTGTTTTGGTACTTCGAGCAAAACAGAAGTGCAGTTTGGTTTTAAATGAGAATATAGCTTAAAATATTCAGGTTTCTCTCCAAAGATTTGTTTCAAGTCACAACTTTTTACCTCAATGTATCTGCTACCCATGTGATGCTTGTGCCTTTCCAGGGCAAGGTCTCTCTGTTCAGAATTGACAAACCGAACCAAAGCCTCCCCATTTCTTCTTCCTTGGGAATTCAGGCAAAGAGCCACACCACCTCTGAAAGGTAAAGCCAACAAATATAAGTTCAGTCTGAATCTTTAATACATTTAATAAATAACTGTGTAAGAATAGTAAAGGAATCAGACTTAAACATGAAGATTACAGATTGGAAAAGAAATTGCTACTATCCAAAATTTAATTTTTGTTGTAACACAATTGTACTTTAAAATCTGCTTCCTTGAGATCATGGATCTCACGTTGTTCAACACTTTCTCAACTCCCATAAAGTTGCAAATTTGTTCCTCCTATTATCTCAGAGATGCACATTTGAAATTCCTCATCATTCTAAATTAGAAAAATGTATATTTTTTCAGTATTGGAGATCTGGAATATATATTAAGTGACAGGTATACTAAATAACTGCACTCTCTTCATATATATGCATACACATAAATCTATACATAGATATATACATGAACCATATGAAAATTTATTCCAAACAGTACTTAGAAGTTTCTGAATGTGGCCTGTTTAGAAGATACAGAAGAATAATAAGTTGGCACAAAATTAAAGCTGTTTTCATGTCTTGGCCTCTGCTTTGATTAATGCAATAGGAGTTTCTCCCTTTTGATACTAGCAATAAATGAATGTATATTGGTTTTCAATTGATGAGTCTCTTTTCTTCTTCACACATTTCAAAACTTTCTCTTGCACGCCTAAGGCTGGTAAACCTGTTCAGCTGTCATGGCCACAGCGTGGGAAGGGGTCAAGTGGGGAAAGACTGAAGGACTCCAGTGGGGAGAGTGGGGGATGTATGTAACACAAATATTAAAGGCAAAGTGATAAAGCAAGGCAAATTCTCCTTAACTTACTTGGCAATGTTGAGCCCTTTGAAAAATCGAGCGATGTCCTGGTCTGAAGACTGCCATGGCAAACCTCTGGCACGTATTACTGTCTCACTGTCCACAGTTTCAGATTTACTGCTGCACAGAAAGAAAAAAGAAGACAAAGTAAGCTTTCATCTAGGTTTTCCAATATTTTACCAAACTTCAGATTGCAACTAATTGAATTGTAAATTGGGAGCATATTTTCTGTTGAGATTCTCTTATCTCCATTATTCCTTTCAATAAAGAAAGAGAAGATAACTTGGATAATTCCTTTTTATCTACAACACTGTAGATGCACAATGTTGTCACCACAGTTCCTTAAACAAAAAAATAGGACAACTGCCAAAATGTAAAGTAATGAGGAACTGAATTAATTTTATATGAAAGATCTAGCAATCCAAGCAACACAAATTACTTATGCCTAAAATATTTCAGTCTGGTCACTGAAATGCATTTGTAAAAAATGAGCCATCCTGTCCCTTCATCCCTGAACCCAACACCCAATTCAGCATGGGTGAAAAACCACTTTGGGAAGCACCACACAGCTCAGCTCATGCAGGGTGCACTGGCCATCAGCTCTGTTGACTTAGGGAAAGTTCACAAATATTTCTTCACCCTGGGTAAGATAAAACAGCCTCGCTGCCATGCAAAATAGAAGCAAGAGAACAAAGAGCATTTAACTTGCAGTGACTTTAAAGAGATGGACTAAAGTACAGCATTCAGCATGCCAGCCACACTCTGGCTGCACTGCAGTGACTGCTGAGTACACTGGGCTGTTCTCAGGAGCCAGCCTGCTTTCACACGACCGTGGGGAAATATTCACAAACTTTCCTTGCTGTACACAAGACTCATCTTTGTTTGTAAACAACCGTGACAAGGGCACTTACCAAGGACCTGTTTCATACTTGTGCTTCACAGTTTCAGGCTCAGTAAATACGTGATCTGTGACAAAACAAGAAGTTTAAATATAACCAGAGTCAGAGGTCTTAAGAATGACAGCATCACTGCCAGTTCTTTCAGAAAAGAAGGATTTCAGCATTCAGTATAAATAGTTAACTTACTACAACCTTCTGAAAGCATGCTGAAAATGATAGCCACCATGGTCTTCACTTGCCACACGCCAAAGTCCTCCTCTGCTTCATCTGTCCCTAAGCCTAGATCTAAACAAGTGATTATAGAAAATAACAGAGTTGCACAATCCTTTGTAAACAAGTTATAAGGCTTTCCTGATATTAGCACAGAACTAATAATCAAATGTACTGGTCTTAGCGGGGACATGTGGCTATTAGACATGTTACATTGCTCATAAACTGGTTTATATTCACTTCAACAGACAACAGTTTGAAAACTATTGAGAGCTTACATAATTTCAGTGTTAACAGTCCAAAAAAGGAAAAGCTGAGTAAGTTCCTATCACTTTAAACATAACTGAACTTCAATCCCATTCAGATGGCCCCCAAAAATCCCTCTAATTTGAACTGAGATGTAGAGTATTGTTTGGGTTTTGTTTTTGCTTTATTTTAAACTCAGTTTCATCAGGAACATGCAAGACAATTGTTATCTGCAAACAGTGGAAAGCTGCAGGTCAGCTGGTGCTGAAAAAGCCCACTGACAGCTCAGCTTTTCCTTTAAGATCAAGTACCAATGCAAGTGATGCTTTTCTTTGGCAGATTTACTAAATATGGTTTAGAAATCAATTAGATTCAATTTGGGGAAAAAAAAATTACAAGCAGAGCCACTCCCCTGACACACACTTAAGTAGACACTCCTTTCACTTTACCTGTGAGTTTATAAAACTCACATCTAATTTTATTCTTCTAAACTCTGTTGCAATCACGGACATAAAACTCAAGGAACTGAACAGATTGTGGGATATAAGCTGCAGCAAAGGATACATTCTGCCATGGTCTTGATAGTCTGGTCTTTCACGGCGGCTGAACTAGGGTAGCAAGTGTGGAATTCTTTGCGCAGATCATAAAAGGAATAGAAGCAGTCTGACAACAAGAAGTTCTACGAGGAAGGCAAAAATATTTGTTTTATAAATGCTAATCCTTTAAATTTCAATTAATACTTTTGAACGGAATGAGGCACTCTCAGAAATCAGGTAGTTCCACATCACCAGCTTGTACGTGACGGAGCAGTTTGGTTCCTTTGTAACACAGTTCAAATTCCATAACTCTACAGAACTGGATGTCTACATGAACAAAGTCAAAGCCTTTGGGAGTCAAGAGTCATGCAAAACAGCTGGAAAGGATGGCTGGGAAAAAATATTTTAAAATATCTACATTTTGCTGTTTAATTCCCATTTTTGACACTATTTTATCTTTTGCAGCTACACTGAAAAGCAGGTTTGTACCAAACCACGATGACAAATTTTAAATAAATATTGTCACAGAATACAAAATCTCTTTCAGCAACTTCTATGTTAGCATCTCTCATTCTTGAGGGGCTCCTGCAGACCCTGCTAAGCCAACAAACTCAAGAGTCACCACCTTGCACAAAGGCAAGGTTCTCCTCCCTACGCATGACAGGGTGTTCTAAACCCTCCAGGAACTTGGAGCAGAAACTGCTGCTTCATGTGGGAATAGCAAACAAGATGCAGCTCTGCTTTCCACTGAATAAATGCAAATGGGGAACCACTGCCAGGCCACATCACCACCTGGGTGCTTACGCTCCAGAGGACACTGGTTTAACAGAAGCCTAAGCAAAGCAATAGCTCTCCATCACTTCTGCTGAGGTTTGATCTGTACCTCTGTTTCCACTCTACACACAGAATTCAAAGGACTAGTATTGCTTCTGTCTCTATCCTGTTTTTCCTAATTTTCCTCTTCCTTTTGCTCATCTGGGAGTCCAAGTAGTGTGGCTGACTTTCAAGAGCAAGTGCCTAAAAGAGCTACTGAGGGCTCAGGCAGGGAGGGGATCATCTTCAATAGTCTTGGGACACTCCAGCTCCCAGGTGGAATTGTGTCACTCCCCTCCCAGCACTGCCTCTCTGCACCACTTCTGATCTTGTACCTTCTTGGATGTTTCTGGGTGGAGAACTTGTCGGATGAGTAACTGGCCATCACTGCAGAGTGTGTAAGAGCTCCTTCCAAGTACTTTCAAATCACTGGATACCAGCTGACTAAACTGGAAAATAAAGTGAAAAATTTCATTGTACTGACTGATAATTTCATGCATTTGCCATTACTTCAGCACTTTTTTTAAAACGAGATAAAGTAATTCAACATTTTGTAAAAGTTTTTTCAAAAACATGATGGAGAACAGACATGGGCTCCTGATTAAAGAAGGCAAATAAACTGCATTTGTGGAATAGCAAACAAGAACACCCAGAATATAGTAAAACAAAAGAGTAATTAGGAAGATATGGCAGAATTATGAGTTCATATGAAAAGTGATCATACTATACTGGTAATGTACAGAATCTGGACTAACTATAATTTAAGTTCTTAAATATTTGAAAGAACTTTGAAGATAAATCACAATATTGATTTTGCAATATCCTTCCTTCACCTATAGCACCTCTGACTTTGATTATATCCTTAATAATTTTTTTTTGGTTCAAAAGCAAAAAACTTACTCATCAGGATTTAATAATGTTTCAAAAGTCATATATTAAGAAAAGCCAAACAAATAGTGATCTAATACCTTCAAAAGTAAAATTATAATCAAGTCACATCCATGCTAATAAAGTTCTTGGTACAGATAAAGTGTTATGAATACTAGATTTAAAAAAATTATTCCGAGCTCTAGGATGGCTAACGCCCAGCAGAGTAATTCTCAAGAGGAAAGGGCTCCAGCTGTCTTATTCTACATTATTTTCCATCCTTAGATAACAGTTTCCAGCCTTTTATTACTCTATACCAGTGTTAAATTCCTAGCTCCTAATAAGTCAGCTAGCATATTATAGTACCTACATGTATCAGTAAGCAGTAGCTTGTTAACTAATTTTCAAGGGGACAAATGTAATTATTCTAAGCTTCCCTCTTGATGCTACTCCCTCCCAGGAAAGCATCACCTCACAAACAAGCAATAATTACAATCATGATGCAGTAGCCACCCACTGCTCTCAGCATTAGCTTATAACTCCAAAACAACCACCCCAAAAGCAAATTACAAGTTGCCTTGAGACTTAGACAATATCTTTGTGCAGTCTTTTAACCTGTGTATGGGGAGAAAAGAGAGTTGGTTTTTATCACAACACATGTGACACTACATCATTACAGTCTCTGCTCAGGAAAGGTGATGTCCTAATGACCTGATCCCACAGCTACAGAGAACTCACAGTGTGAGCAAGTGTTGCAGCACCTGCAGCCCAAAGGTAAGGCTCCACAAGGGAAAACACGTGTATTGAACATGATTTAGAAGGAGCAGAGACATGATTACCCAGGCTTTATTTCAAAATACCTGCTCAAAGCAACCCAGGCCCTTTTCTAGGCTTAGGCAGCTGACCAGAGTTCCACTACCATTCTGAGTTCAGAATCCTGTAGTACTGGGTACTATACATCAAAACAGGGAACTGAGGGGCAAAGCTGGGTAAGGAGGGGCACTCAGCTCAGCACCTTGTGCTAAGTTACTCCATTTGCAGATATATTTACAGATATAGATATGAACATATCTATAAAGTGAAGTTATTTAATAGCAGAGAACATATTTGAAACTATAAGAAGGGTGAACATCCCCACAAAACAAAAACCTTTATAATGCAATTCTCTGCACACTACCAAAACACACAAAAAGAACAAACACACCACAAACAGACAAAATAACTAACTAAAAATCAACCAACCCAAACTTGCAGATTCCCAAAGCCTGTTTCCTCCCAATTGCTAGTGCAGGTTGTGGTCCTACCACAAGCTGAAGTCTTGAAGAATCTGAGGCTTTAAAGCCAGTTATTGTTCAAAGATGATTTAAAGTCAGAAAATTGAGATCTGAGAGTGCTCAAAATACCTCAGTTGATGTGTAAACATCAGAAAAAGAAGAAAATTCCAGTGGACTCCAGAGGAATCACTTCAGAAAAGTAGTTCTGTGGATGGCCACAGTCACAGACCAACAACAAATATTCTCACCACAATAACACACATGAGAATTGCTTTCTTACTAAATGCAGCAACTTATTAGGGTTTTTTTTTTGTTTAACTAATGCACACAGTAAAGAGCAAATATTTGTAAAAAGGGGTTGGAAATGGTGATAGGAATCAGCCTCCAGAGGGGGTGCACAGGGATTCTTGCTGAAAGGAAGCAGAGTCTTACTGATGAACAGCAATAAAACACTCCCCAAACCTTCAACTTTGTACCCTTGTTACTGGAGGTGCTCAAGAGCCAATACAGGGAGTGCAGTTAGGGAGCTATTTTGATCAGATACAAGAAGAAATCTAACCCACACAGTCTGAAGAAAGCAGCAAATGTAAGCAGCCTCCTGCTGTACACATAAAATGTAAGAACTGTAGATCAAAAAGACGTCATCAAGTTAGAAAATAAAAGGAGAAAAATGTTTGCACAAGGGAGGAAATGCTCAGGTCAAATGGTGTAAGTCAAGTTAGTAAAAATCAAGACTGTTGCACTGAAACATTCACATTTTTTCCAGGTGGTGTTTCCCACACAACCTACAGCTGAAAAGAAAACACAGTTATTTTCAGAAGCCTGTACTGCGAAGATGCCAGAGTAGTAAAATACTGCATAAGGACACTGATAAGCCCAGAATTCCAACTGTACTAAGGTTTAAAGAACTCCCAAGGATCAGGATTTGTTTTTTATTTGTACCAAGCGTTAGTATTTGCATATTTATTAAATGTCAGTGATAACATTCAACATTGCAAACTCCTTTCCAGTGGAACAATCAACATGTCAAAACAATACTCTACTTTTCTTACCAAATGCCAGCAGCTTAAAGTGCCTTAGATAAACTGCCACAAGGTTGGCAAGACTTGCTGGGAGCTTATTTAGAAACTCCTATTTTAAAACCAGCCTGTTTCAAACTTTGGGGTGTACTGCTCTGGAAGAGGGCAAGAAGACTGGGAAGAATAGTCAGGAGACATAAACAATCTTGGTTATCCAAACCAGCTCAACCATGGCATGGGTTAACTGAGGAGAGGAGGGGGTAGCAGAATGACTGGGAAGATTCACTCAGGATCAGAGCATGGGGCAAAATAGCCCCAGAGGAATGACAGATATTTGAGATTAGCCTGAAGTAGCTTCTTTCACCCAATTAGGAGATGCCTCCTAATTCTGCAGAGGTTGAGTATGAGAGGCATAGCTGTGGACCAGCTCTTGCTGCTATAGATTACACTGGACCCTCAAGTCTTTCAGGCAATAGATACACGTAACACATGTGTCAAACTTGTTAAAGCAGCTAGGGCAGATGTGTTTGTAAAGCCACATTATTCAGCACAACAAGCCACACCAGTTAAGCAATTCAGCACTGCCCAGGAAAAGCCATCTTCAGCCTCCTTTCTTGCACCACAGATTGCAGGCAGCATTTCAAAAGCCAGCCTTGAACCAGCATCCACCCAAATGGAGCAAGCACAGGACAAGTTAAGACCAGCACCAGATTTACATTACGTTTTTCTGTCTCACATGTTGAACAACCTGTCCACAACTCTGTCATTTCATAAATTCCATCCCCCTCTCCTTCACTCCACTAATAAAATCCATCTCAGCTATTTACCTGCTGTCATTCACCTTCATGCTGCCGTCCAAGCATGCCCCCACCTCAGCAGGCAAAGCTGCCCCACCTTAACACTGCCCCCACCAAGCTCACACACCCTGTCTGCCCTGCTCCTCTGCTCCTTCCACAGCACTTACACACTGCTAATTAATTACCTGTTTGCATCTTGCAACCAGCCCTCATTCTGACTGCAAGAACCAGGCTATTAGCATCATCCTCCACCTCTCTTGCTTATTCCACCAGATCAGTCTCTCCAGCAAAGCTCTGATGAGTCATTCCTTATTTAAAGGAATTTGTTCAATAATTCCACACCAAGATTAAAAACTGAACAGAGGGAAGAGGAAGAATCAAACAAGCTGCTCTGTATACTTGCCTCCTTGCCTCCTTGAAACCTAAATCAGTTCTTAGAGAAAAGGTGGTGAGAGGGAAGGACAGACTTTGAACAGCAGTTTGAAAAACTGGCTAAACAGGATTTTGGTCATGTAGCTGAGAGTACAAAGAGATTGAAGAGACATGTTTTGCCAGCAGCAAAGCTGGATGAAAGCCAGAACAAGCTGCTGTGTTTTATACTGATGAATCTCAAGGGACTAAAATAACAGCCCACTTTGTGTTGCCTTAAATATAGCTGAACTAAGATGTAGATCTTGGAGAAACAAGAAGATTCTTCATTAAGCTTTTTCTACAGTTATGATGCACAAAAAACTAAAATAAACATCTGTCTATTTGGATAGTCTCATTTTCCTTACTAAAAATAGCTGTCATCCTTGAGAAAGGCCACTGCATCTGTGCTGTATCTGTGCCTGGCATGGTAATTAAACACTGAGATAATTCAGGCACAGAATGCACCCATGCTGTCAAATAGAACCATTTCTAAAACACCATGGCACTCTGGGGGATTTTTTTCTTCAAATCACCTCTGAGAAGTAACAGAAAATTCAGCTGCCCCTTATGCATCAGATTTCCAGCAGCTCCTAGTGAGTCTTTAAAGCAGCATCCCTTCCTGTAGTCATGCACAGAATTTCTCTGTTTTGCTTCTTTTGGCCCTACTGACCCATCACAGCTAAGACAAGATAAAATCATTCACAGAGCTTCAGAATTAAAAGCATCCTTGCAGTTTAAGCAGGTCTGGAGTGCCATGCTAAAATATTACATAAAAATCCAGAAAACAGCTTAGCTTGTAGTCCACACTTAAGCTAGACTTGAATCTATTTTCAAGTAGAAAGATGAGTTATATTTATCAATATTCTTTGCACAAAGAATGGTCCTCATGGTGTAGGGATCTGGTTTCAAACCAGTAGTATCAACAGGATGTTACTAAACTGCCCAGAGTTTACAATTTGGTGATTGCAGATGAATACATGGTCTACTTTCTGCCAGATCAGCATATCAAAAAGTGCTCATTTTTTCATCCATGCCATCTTTAGACTTGGGAGGGTGAACAGATCATATCTGGTCCAGTCAA